AACTTTGATGTTCAGATTTAGATAGTCGTCTTACGGATTAATATGTAATCAAATCGTCATGCGCCTACTATGTTTGTTCTTGACATACGATCATTGATACAAATATATAATCACTAATTTCGTGAAGGAATTAGTTTAACCCATGAGTGTATATAAGCATTATATTTGATATATACACATATAATATTCAACCCAAATAATGGAAAAGCAGAAACAAAAATACAATTTAAGGTGGAAGAGTGGTATATCAAACTTTTTTATATATAACTTTTTTGTACTTTAGATTGCACTATGTATGATAGCCATAACCTATATACGGATTTTATAGGTCTTGCTTTACTTGTTAAATAATTGCTGCATCCTTTTCTAAATATCTTATAAAGGAAATTGAATTCAAATTAAAAGAAATAATTGTATTCCTTTTCTTATGGGCACACATTTTCATCCTAAACTAAGGGCGGATATTGATTTGTTGTTTGGTTTAGAATAGGAATTTCAGTGTTTTCGAAATATTCAATTCGTAGAGTTTTCACCTAAATGGAACCAAATCTCCGGTTTTTAAATAAATAGATAGCTAAATATTATATAGAAAATGTATTTTTTAATTAAAAATTATGCGTTTGATGAATTTATATTTAGTCAATTCGGTTTGGTTGTTTAAATTCTTATTTTGCTTCGTATAAAGAAATTGTTATAACACATTTTAGTTTGATTTTGTTTAAGAATATTTCAAGTTTTTTTCTCGACAACATAGATTATATGAAGTTTGGATTTGAGTAATGAAACATTGACAACACTAACACAAACCACTACGACGATTGATCTATAATATTTCGGTTTGAATATCATCTTATTTTAAACAATCAAATGTGTTGATGTAGTCATTAACTCATTTAAAGAAAGGAAAATAGATATATTGCGTGATGGGCAAATTTTTTGATAAAGGTCCAATATATTTTCAGAAAGCTAAATGCACAAATAAATAATAATCACAGAAGAAAAAAGACCATCATCAGTGAGGGATGGGCAAAAAAACCGAACCGAACCGAACTATAATTAGATGTTTTGGTTTGGTTTCGGTTTGATCTGTAAACTTATTTGGTTGCTATTTTAAAATTATTTTGGTTTCGGTTCGGTTTCGGTTTAAAACCGTAAAACCGTTCGGGTTTTCGGTTTTTAAAAAAAAACTATTATTATTACTAGTTTTAGAAATCTTAGTTAGATACTAACATGCTAATTAGTTAAATGTTAGCAAAAAGATAATATATATATTCTTTACAAAGTATATATAGATATTTTCTCTACTCAAACACTTTGATGTTGATAATAAAAGTGTTTTTCTAGTTTTCTCTTTCTACCTACTAGTCTAATAAGATTGAGTTTACAATT